ACGACGAGAACCAAGAGGAGGAGGAGGAGGAGGAGGAGGAGGAGGAGGAGGAGGAGGAGGAGGAGGAGGAGGAAGAGCAGAGGAGAAGAAAGAGCAGCAGCAACAGCGTCGGCAGGAATACTGTGAGAATAACTTATGGTGGTGGCTGGCAGAAGGGGTCCTGGAACTTGCCGAAGTCGACTTTATGTCGGCCAGTCTTCTTGTCCAAGAAGACGCACCTGGCAAACTCCTCACCCGCGGCACGCGGAATGGACCTCGCTCCCACATCCCATGCCGTCCTCCTCCGTTTCATCCACCTCATTCTCCTTTCTACCCCTCCTCCACCGCAGCCTATCCCCATCATCCTGGTGCTGCACCTCCACAACTTGCCTGTGTCCACCTCCACCTGTTGCTCTTCCTCGTCATCATCACCATCATCATCAGCATCATCATCATCATCATCACCATCATCATCACCATCATCAGCAGCATCATCACCGTCATCAGCATCCTCATCATCATCATCATCAGCATCATCGTCATAATCATCGTGATCCACTTTCCCCCTCGTCAACACCATCCAGCTATTCGTCCCCATGCCCCGACTCATCCTTTTATCAACATCATCTGTCACCGGTGCTTACCATGTTGCCCTCCATCCGTCACTTGTGCCTCGCAACCCTCCCTCCTCCCTCCATCCACTCTCCTCCATCCATCCCTCCTCCCCCCACACCCTCCCTCCTCCCGTCGCCAAGGCCTCATCATATGAGCCCGCTCCTCGCAATGTGTGCAAGTGTGGTCATCATCTCCTTAACCACTCCATTATCATCACCACCACCACCATCGTCATCATCATCAACAACATCATCAGCATCAACATTAGCATCAGCATCATCATCGTCATCACCAGCAGCATACTCATCATCATCATCATCATCATCATCATGATCATCATCATCATCATCATCATCATCAGCACCGTCAGCATCATCATCAGCAGCACCATCATCAACATCATCATCATCCTCATCATCCGCATCATCGTCCTCATTATCATCCTCATCATCAGCATCAGCATCATCAGCATCATCATCGGCAGCAGCAGCATCAGTATTGGCATCAGCCTTCTCATCATTGGCATCATTATCAACAACAAAAACAACCAAAACCAATCACATCACAACCATCATCATATCCTGACTCCGCCACCTCCTCCTCGTCATCATCATCATTACCAACACCTTCATCATCTCATCAGCATCGGCATGACCATCACCATCATCAACAACGACACCATAATCAGCATCAGCATCATAATCATCATCAGCATCATCGTCATCATCAGCATCATAATTACCCTCACCAACCGGATCTTAATCCACTAGACTGGCATGCATGCCCTTGCCCCTTGCCATCTTCTGCCTCCTCATGCTTGTCCTCCTCGTCGTATCTCTCCTCACCCGCTTCGTCCTCATCGTCGGTATGCGCTGCTCCCGCTGCTGCTCCTCTTGCTTCTGGCCCTCTCCTACTCGTCAACCCCCTTCCTCCCTAATCATGACGACGATTCCTATTCCAACCCCTCTACCAATTCCAACTACTCACCTTGTCAGCCGCCAGCCCCTCGTTATCCCCCCATGTCAGCCCCATCATCAAATTCTGGGCCCCGTTGACCATCACCATCATCACCATCATTGTCAGTACCAGCATCGGAGCATTCACCGCCATCACCAATAACACCGCAATGAGCACCGCCGTCGCTATTGGAATCGCCGTAATCATCAATAGCGCCATTGCAACTCCTCTTATCTTTCGCCTCCTGCCGCTACTCCTCCTTCTCCCATGCTGTCTCCTCCGCCTTCCCTTGATTATCCTCCTCCGGGTCCCACTCAAAGTCAAATTGCCCGGTATCCCCCTGCTTGTCCTTCTCGTTGCCCGTGCGCAGAACCTCCATACGCATCAGCATCTGATGCTTCAATCGCAACATCCCAGACCTTGTCCGCCATCTCATTTACCTCCCTCCCCTCTGCCGGCTCCTCCTGCTGTTCGTCCTCCTGCTGCTATTCCGCTCCCCCACCGTGGCCTGCGTCCTCCTGCTTCTCTCGCTGCTGCTGCTCCTCCTCGTCCCGCCTTCCTGCTCTCACCTGTCACTTCCTCCATCCTATCTCACCTGGCACCTTCCCACTCCTCCTCCAACCACCTCCTTTTTCCCACGGACCATTCCCCTCGTCCTTCTCTGCCCCAACTCTCGCTGATCATCCCCCATCACTCGTTCCGCACTCATCGCTCTTCCTTCATCCAGCCTCCCGCACCCTCGTGTCGCGTCGGTGTCTCCTCCTCTCCACGCTGTGCCGAATGCAACGCGCACTGTGAGATGTGGCGAGCGGATCCGTGCGAAACTGGCATTCGTTGAGCAGGGAACGCTCGTCACGGTGTTCCTGCAGGCAGACCGCGAAACGCTGCTGGAGCATAAGAACGCTTTCATGGCAAACGCAATTGTCCAAGAACTGAACAACCAACGGCTTACAATCTAAGACAGACATGCTTTTCCAGCACGTATTTTAGACAAGCCGCAGAAGGAAAAGGCAAATTTCCAAGAACTGAATAACCGACGGCTTACAATCTAAGACAGACATGCTTTTTCAGCACATACTTTAGACACGCCGCAGCAGGTTCTTACACCTTCCTTAGTGGGCTTGCAGGCAGGCCCTGACGCTTCGTCACCGCTTGACGCAGTACCCACTTGCTCACACTCTTCAAGAGAGGACGCGATGCACCGTGCCTCTTCGCTCCGTACCGCAGGCCGAGCCGAACCGCCCGGGCGACGGACTGGCGCCGCCGCCAGACGACGGCAACGTGGCCTTGAGAAACAGCCAGAACGGCGTCTGGCCAGGACGGGCCGGCGCCGCTGCCGTCGGGCCCGCGCTGACTGGACGCACCTGATCCATGGCATCGAAGAGGCCTTCGCGCTGCTGGCGCGCTGGACAGCCACACTGACTGAAAACGAAGCGTGCGGTGCAAATCCCTGCTCTCGTTAAGCCGACTGACGGTGAGTGAGGCTATCCCTTAGACGCCCCGAGGAGGCACAGGCATCGGGAGGAGGAGGAAGAGGGAGGAGGAGGAGGAGGAGGAAGAGGGAGGAGGAAAAGGTAGAGGAGGAAAAGGTAGAGGAGGAAAAGGTAGAGGAGGAAAAGGTAGAGGAGGAAAAGGTAGAGGAGGAGGAGGAGGAGGAGGAGGAGGAGGAGGAGAATGGGAGGAGGAGGAGGAGGAGAGGAGGTTGGCATGCCATTTGGGGGGACGTCATCCCCACCGCAGCAACGGCCAGGCTAGGGTGCCGCTCGGGCCCGTAAAGCCTTGTTGGCTCAGTCGGCTTCGAAGTTAAAGTCGCTGCTGCCATCTGACTCGATCACGCTGCGCCGCCCCATCTGGTACGGGGGGAGGAGGAGGAGGAGGAGGAGGAGGAGGAGGAGGAGGAGGAGGAGGAGGAGGAGGAGGCGGAGGAGGAGGAGGAGGAGGAGCAGGAGGAGGACGTTCACCGCTCCCACGGAGCGCGCCGATCCTTGCTAAGCCTGCCTGCGCCTGATCCAGAGCGCTCCTGCATCGCCCTTCCCGCGCGCATCTGGCGAAACTCGACCGACGGAACAATCGTTGCGCGGCTTCGCCTGTGCGAGGGCGGCGCGCGGCGAGCCACGCAGCCTCCACGAGCAAAACGCCCACGCCTCAATGGGCACCGTCTCTGATCTCATCTGATTTCATGCAAGTCCTGCAGCAAACCCGGTGTCCGTGACACCTCGCAGCCAAGGATGCGAGCTGACAGCCGCGAAGCCCCGGGCAGCCACTGTGTCCGCTCAGGGGCCTCGCGACGAAGGGCGAGAGATGAACCGGTCGCCGAAGCACCCGGCACTCGAGAACGCAGTGGCCCACTCTGTCCTCTCTGCCGGGGCAGCCGAGCACATGCGGCGCACGCCGCACCTCTCTCCGGCGTGCGATCCGGCTCCCAGTCCGGGGTGAGCATCGCAGCGGGGGCCCACGACCTGGGCGCCTCGGCCTGGGAGCGCTCGGAGGCCTTCCCGCCTGCGCTCTCCGAGGGCCTCCACGCCGACATGCTCGAGGAGGCGTCGACGCGTCTAGCAGCGCGGGCGCTCGACGGAGTCCGACGGCAGAGACTGCACCGGCTGTGGCCGTTTTCACCGTCCACGATGCCCGTCCTGCTGCAAGTGCGGGGGCCGTGGTCCGCGACGCCTCCCACGCGTGAAAGGCTCGCTTTATCTGGCTCGTCGGGGTTGCCGGTGTCGCGGGAAATCTCCAGAGGCGTCCAGCAGCGTAGCCGCGATCGCAGGGGACTCCCACCTCGGCGGTGCCAGTGATGAGGAGCCCTAGCGTGCGCTCTCGGGCAAGGCGTGGCATCCCCTCCGCGTGGGCGCTGTCTCGAGCGCGGTCCGAGCCAACGCCGCCACGTTCGGTGCGAGCAGCCCTCGAAGCCGAGGCCCTCCCCGGCGGCGCGGCGGCGAGGCTGCAGCCGACCCCCGTGGCACAAGCGCGGCCCTCGGCGCGCGGAGGAGGAGGAGGAGGAGGAGGAGGAGGAGGAGGAGGAGGTGGAGGAGGAGGAGGAGGAGGAGGAGGAGGAGGAGGAGGAGGAGGAGGAGAAGCTGCGACCTGTAGCTCGGGGCGGACCGCACGCGCTCCTGGCACGGGCGCCATTCCTCGGCTGCCGCCGGGGAGGGCCGCGCGACCACGGCTGCCCCTTTTTGCTTCCGCTTCCCTTCTGGCTCCTGCCAGCTCGCCTCCCCAGCCAGCCCCGGCCCCAAGAGCAGGAGGGGGAGGGGGGGAGGGAGGCGGGGTGAGGAGGAGAGGGAGGGAGAGAGGGAAGGGAGGGAGGAGAAGGAGGGGAGGGAGGAGAAGGAAGGGGGGGAGGGAGGGAGCGAGGGAGAGGGGAGAGAAACCTCAGGCGAAACGCCAGGCCCGCTCATCCGACACAGATGGGAGTGCGAGAGGGGAGAGATAGCTGTAAGGTAAAAGGGTAAAAGGGGGAGGATCAAATAATGGAAGAAGGGGGGAAGGAGGATGATGATGATGATGAGGAGGAGGGAGGAGGAGGAGGAGGAGGAGGAGGAGGAGGGGGAGGAGAGGAGAGAGGAGGAGGAGGAGGAGGAGGAGAGGAGAGGAGGAGGAGGAGGAGGAGGGGAGGAGGAGGAGGAGGAGGAGGAGGAGGAGGAGGAGGAGGAGGAGGAGGTTTTTTTTGTGCTCCCCCGAAGTGCGCCGAGCGTGCCAGCTGAGGAGGGAGGCGCGGGCTGGGGCGGAGGGGGCGGGGCGCCGCGCGCCCGATCAGCACGCCTGCGCCCCCGTCTGCCTGCTCCACGCTCTGCCTCGCCGAGCGGCGCCATCTGGGCATCCAGCTCGGCCTGGGAGCGCGTGTCGTAGTCCATCTCGTCGACCACGAGCACGAAGAGGTGCTGCCACCTCGCTGTCGCCAGGCGCTCCGTGACGCCCCTTCCCAGCGCCTCGTTCAAGCAACTTCTCGGAGAGGCGTTCCCGCCCGAGGAGCCAGGCCTTGTCGAACGCGAGCGGGACCCCCGCGACGAGGTCACCTTCCCAGGCGCGCGCAACGAGCTGCCGCGCGCGCCACGGAGCTCTTGACCGGATCCGGGGCGCCGCGCAGTCCATCGCGCTCCAAACATTCTCGAAGCTGGCCGTCAGGTCGGCCCCCACAGGACGCAGGATAGCACCGCCAGCATGTCGTGGGCCCTTGGGCTCGCCCAGCTCGCTGGCGGCTCTCTCCGCCGCCAGCCCCTCGGCGAGCCCGCGCTGCTCGGAGGGCCCCGCGGGGGCCTCCAGCTTCACTTCCTGCACGCCCTCCGGCCCCATGGAGGTCCTCGGCGAACTTCTCCGCGGAGAGCTTAGGGCCGCCGCCGTCCTGATCCTCCACCTCCTCGGTAATCGCGCCGAGCTTGGGCGGCACGTCGGGCACCTCCACGGGGTGCACCAAGCCGCAGTGCTCCCCGCGCGGCTGCTGCATGCGTTGCGCCAGCAACGCGCGCAGCGAGTGGCGCATCTCCTCCCGCCGCTCGACCTCCTGCTCGAGCTCCTGGCATAGCCCGGTTCGCTCAGCGAGCCGCGCCTTCCAGTGGGCGCTCTCGTCCTTCAGATCCTCGATCTCCTGCTTGAGCGCCTTCGACTGCTGCAGCTCCTGCATGAAGATCGACTCCTGCCGGCACCTCGGCGGCCGCAGATCCACGCTCTGAGGCTCGTTGGCGCCCTCGCTGTCCTCGAGCATCTCCTCCAGCACGAGGCAGCGCCCCACATACTCGTCCAAGTTCCTTTCCAGGTCAAGAACGACTCCAGAGTGCTTCTCCAGCTGCCGCTGCAGCTGAACGAACTCCATCCGATCGGTCTGCACGGCAGTGTTGCGGGTCGCGGCAGGCCCCTCTGAGCGCCCGTCCGTGTTACTCTCGGCAGGGCATGGCACCCCCGCCGATTCGAACTGAGCGTCCATGTTGGCCCCGCTGGTGCTGTTGCAGCTGCCAGGGGCGTCCTGAAGGGCCGCGTCGCCGCCGCCATTCAACTGATGCGACGACGCTGGAACTGCTGGCTTGCCTGTTGGCCCAAGGCCCCATAGGCTCCCCTGCATTCCCAGCGCCATGTATGGGGCTGCCGCCGTAGGCCTGCACGACACCCAGCGCGTGCAGCAGCGCCTCCGCGTCGGCGCCTGGTCGCACACGGTGTGCAGCCGCCCCAGGCACGAAAGGCGACGCCGCCACGTTCCAGATCTGATGGTGGGACTGCGCGCCAGCCAGCTGCGCGGCCTGCGCGGCCCTCGCAGGCGCCACCGTCTCCGCCACGGAGATCTCCACGAGGCAGACACTCCGCGGGCGCCGCGCCTCTGGCGGCGGCTTTCTCTGGGCCCCGGCCGCGCGGGCGCGGCAGGCGGGGCCCTCGCTGAGCCTGCCGCCAGGCTGCCAACGGCGCTCCCACGGGGGGAGCGTGCTTGGCGTGGCACCCGACGTTGCGCCTGAGCACGTCCTCAGGCAGCACCTCGCGCTCATCTTCCTGCGCCTCCAGCGCCGAAGCTACCAGCGCTAACTGCTCCAGCGTGCGCAGCTTCCCCGCCTGCTTCTGCACCAGCCGCTCGCGCGAGTAGGCCGCCCACTGCTGAGCAGTCCTCCGAGCGCCGTGCGATCTCCAGCAAGCACCGATGGCCGACCGCCCAGCGGTCTGGCCCCCCGTCGCCATCTGCATGCCAACGCCCCGCACCGCCGAGGGTCGTGTGGCAACTGGGGCCCATGCGCCACGGCGGCAGGCTCTCGCCCGCCGCTAGCGGCCGCACGCCTTGAACCAGCGGCTATGGGCGCCACGCACATGGCGTAAACCAAAATAGTTACGGAGGAGGAGGAGGAGGAGGAGGAGGAGGAGGAGGAGGAGGAGGAGGAGGAGAAAGGAGGAGGAGGAGGAGAGGAGGGTGAGGGGGGAGGAGGTGGAGGAGGAGAGGGAGGAGGAGGAGGGAGGAGGAGGGAGGAGGGAGGAGGGAGCAGGAGGGAGGAGGGACGGCGGAGTCTCCTCGCCGAACCCGATCTCCTCCTTCGTGTAGGACTGCCTGCCCTCACGGACGCCCCTGCGCGCGAGGCCGCGCGGGGCGCCCCCCCCCCCCCCCCGCGCGCGGCAGTCCGCTGGCCCCTCGCCGTGCCGCCGAGCGGAGGCTGGGCGACGCGCCGCGGCTGCCGCCGCGGCCGGCCGCCTCCTCGCCCTCGCCCTGCGCCTTCGCCCTCCGCCCTCGCCCTCCGCCTCCAAGTCCTCCTCCTTGGCCTCGCCCTCGCCCTCCATTCCTTTTCCTTATTAATACGGCGAGGGCATTGGATAAGGAGCCAATGGATAAGGAATCCAGGGTCTCGAAGCCAGTGGAACTCGAATCGTGGATCGGCCATGGATATCACCGCCGCCCTTGCTAGATAAGGAAGCCCCCAGGGTCTGAAGCCTCCTGGGCACATTCCTTAACCAACGCCCCCAGCGTAGCTTCTCCCTGTCGCGCCCCGAGGCCAGTGTTTAGGGCGTGCCGGGCGTTTCGCCTGAGGCTTCCTCACCGTGACCCTGAAGCTGTAAACGTTGGCAACAGCTGCACAGATGGAAGGCGGGTGGTTTTCAAACTGTGGCTCTCGCTTCAGCGCTGCGCACATTCGTCTTTAAAACTTCGCAAGGGTTTCACGGATTGAGGGCGACTGGTTTTCAAAATGTGCCTCTCGCTGTAGCGCCGCTCATATTCATTTTAAAGAGTTGCAGAGAGTTTCGCGGATTCAGGGAGGTTCTTTTACAAAAGTTGGTTCTCGCCCAAGCGCCGCGCACATTCGTTTTAAGCATTTGCAGGAGCTTCACGGATTGTGGGCGAAATGTGGCTCTCGCCTTGGCGCCGCGTGCATTCGTTGTAAAATGTGCAAGAGCTTCACGGATTGAGGGCAATGCCTTTTCAAAATGTCGCTCTCGCCTTAGCGCCGCGCACATTGGTTCATACAAATTTCAAGAGTCTCACGGATTCCCATGATCAGCGTACCCGAAATGGCGTTTAGGAAATATTCTGGATTATGCGGGCGCAACAATTGCGTTGGTTCGTGGTGTTGACGTTTCAGGACTGACATGGCGTTCTGGCACGATTTAGCCTCGTCAAGACGCAGCAATCAGGATGATCCGTGGCGTCGGAATCCCGAGAACAATGTTTTGGCATGCTTCAGGATTTTCAAACGGTTGTCTTCCGACAAGGCAATTCCCAAAGTGGAGCGGTACCGTTGTAGGAGCCTATGCAGAGGGATATTGGAGGGAGGGTAGATTCGGGTAGATTCCAACATCGTTGATGACTCTTGGGTTTCGACTGGTCCTCCTCCTCCTCCTACACCTCCTCCTCCTCCTCCCCTTGCTCCTCTTCCTCCTCCTCCCCCTCCTCCTCCTCCTCCTCCTCCTCCTCCTGCTCCTCCTCCTCCTCCTCCTCCTCCTCCTCCTCTCTCCTCCTCCTCCTCCTCCTCCTCTTGCTCCACTTCCTCCTCCTCCTCCTCCTCCTCCTCCTGCTCCTCCTCCTCGCCCTCTCCCTCGCCCTCGTCCTCGCCCTTCTCCTCCTCCTCCTGCTCGTCCTTGCCCCCCTCCTCTCTCTCCTCCTGCTCCTCTTCCTCGCCCTCCTAGCCCCTCGCCCTCCGCGCTGCGCCCGGCGGGCCGCGCAGGGGAGGGGCCGGGGGGGAGCTCAGCAGACCCCTCTGTCGCGACCCCGGGGGGAGGCCGCCCGGCAGGGGCGTCGGGGCGGGTGCCGCCCAGGGCTGGAAGCGAAGAAGGGCGCGGCCCTGCCGCGCTCCAGTGCGGGGGCGGTGTGCCTCCCTTCCCAGAGGGAGGGCGATCGGGGGGGGGGGGGGGGGCTCTGGCTCGAGGGACACGGGGGAGCATAGCAGGGGGGGGGGGGAGTACGTCAGGCTCGAGGCTCGAGGTTCTCGGACGTGCTCGGCGGCCCTCCGCGACACCGCGTTTCGCCTGGGCGGGGTGGGCCATCACGCACCCTCTCGGCCATGAGCGGGAGATTGGGGAATCGATGCGCTCCCTCCCTGAGCCTATCCCCCCCTGACGCTGACCCGGACCTCCCCCCACTCCTCACGAGCGGTGAATAGATCCTTGCCATGGGACTCCCGTGGGGGGCCCTCTTGTCGCTTTGGGAGCAAAAAGCTGCGAGTTCGGCGAGAGTCATTAGAATCCTTGTGTAAACGCTCTCAATAGGAATCTGATTGTAGAGGCTTCCAATCAGAATCCTCTTGTATATGCTCTCAATAGGAATCCTTTAGTTTCCAATGCAAAGCCGACTGCAACGCGTGTCATTAGAACCTTTTGGTAAACGCTCTCAATAGGAATCCTAGTGTAGAGGCTTCCAATCAGAACCCTCTTGTACAGGCTCTCAATAGGAATCCTTGTGTATTAGTTTCCAAGAGGAAGCCGATTGCAACGGGTGCCGTTAGAATCCTGTTGTAAACGCTTTCAATAAGAATCCTATCGTAGAGGCTTCCAATCAGAATCCTCTCGTATCGGCTCCCAATAGGAATCCTTTTGTATTACTTTCCAATAGGAAACCCTTTGCAACGGGTGTCATTCGAATCCTTCTTTAAACGCTTTCACTAGGAATCCTATTGCAGAGGCTTCCAATCATAATCCTCTTGTATATGCTCTCAATCGGAATCCTTTTGTATTTCTTTCCAATAGGAAACCGATTGCAACGGGTGTCCTTCGAATCCTTATGTTAAACGCTCTCAATAGGAATCCTATTGTAGAGACTTCCAATCATAATTCTCTAGCATATGCTCTCAATAGGAATCCGTTTGTATTAAATGTCAATGGGACGCCGATTGTAACGGGTGTCATTAGCATCCTTTCGTAAACGCTCTCAATCGGAACCCTCGCGTAAAGGCTTCCAATCAGAATCCTCTTGTATATGCTCTCAATAGGAATCCTTTTGCATTAGTTTCCAATCGGAAACCCTTTGCAACGGGTGTCGTTAGAATCCTTTTGAGAACGCTCTCAAAAGGAATCCGATTGTAGAGGCTTCCAATCAGAATCCTCTTGTATATGCTCTCAAAGGAACGCCATAACTTTAGGAACGCCGGGAGAAAAAAAAAACAACAACAAAAACAACGAAACTGAAGTGCTGGAGGCTGAAACTTTGGAAAAACCATGGTGAAACAAAAACCAAAAACAAAAAAGATTCCAGGGAAGACCCGTCCGCCCCAAAGGGGAGGTTACATGGGCGGGCTGGTGTCACTGGAATCTTTTTTGTTGGTTGTTCCAAAATTTCAGCCCCCAGCACTTCAATTTTTCTCAGGGTTTTCCTAAAATTATGGCGTTCCGCTGGACGGGGGGGGGGGGAGGAGGAGGATGAGGTGGTCCCTTCGGACGGGTCTTTCCTGGTGTTTTTACCTAACAGCTTGTTCTGATAGGTTTCTAGTGGTGTCAAAAGAGAGCAGCAGATGACTCCACAGGGGGGTCTGGGCGGGTGCCGGACAGGGTGCCGCAGAAGTCGTTTTAAGCCAACAGTCACACACTTCGTGCTCTTCGACCTCCCAGAACTCCATTCCCGGGCCACATTCTGAATGCCCGGAGCCAACTGTAGGCCACTTCGTGCTCTTCGACTTCCCAGAACTCCATTCCCGGGCCACATTTTGAATGCCCGGAGCCAACTGTAGGCCACTTCGTGGTCTTCGAGTTCCCAGAACTCCATTCCTGGGCATGATTTTGAATGCCCGGAGCCAACTGTAGGCCACTTCGTGGTGTTCGAGTTCCCAGAACTCCATCCCTGGGCATGATTTTGAATGCCCCGAGCCAACTGTAGGCCATTTCGTGTTCTTCGAGTTCCCAGAACTCCATTCCCGGGCCACACTTTGAATGCTGAGGCAGGCTGATGCTGAGGCTGAGGCAGGCTGAGGCTGAGGCAGGCTGAGGCTGAGGCCGAGGCTGAAGGCAGACTGAGGCTGAGGCTGAAGCAGGCTGAGGCTGAGGCTGAGGCTGAGGCAGGCTGAGGCTGAGGCTGAGGCTGAGGCAGGCTGAGGCTGAGGCAGGCTGAGGCTGAGGCCGAGGCTGAAGGCTGAGCACTGAGGCTGAGGCAGGCTGAGGCTGAGGCCGAGGCTGAGGCAGACTGAGGCTGAGGCTGAAGCAGGCTGAGGCTGAGGCTGAGGCAGGCTGAGGCTGAGGCTGAGGCAGGCTGATGCTGAGAGGCTGAGGCTGAGGCTGAGGCTGATGCAGGCTGAGGCTGAGGCAGGCTGAGGCTGAGGCCGAGGCTGAAGGCAGACTGAGGCTGAGGCTGAAGCAGGCTGAGGCTGAGGCTGAGGCTGAGGCTGAGGCTGAGGCAGGCTGAGGCTGAGGCTGAGGCAGGCTGATGCTGAGGCAGGCTGAGGCTGAGGCTGATGCAGGCTGAGGCTGAGGCAGGCTGAGGCTGAGGCCGAGGCTGAAGGCTGACTGAGGCTGAGGCTGAAGGCAGGCTGAGGCTGAGGCTGAGGCTGAGGCAGGCTGAGGCTGAGGCTGAGGCTGAGGCTGAGGCTGAGGCTGAGGCAGGCTGAGGCTGAGGCTGAGGCTGCAGGCTGAGGCTGAGGCTGAGGCTGAGGCAGGCTGATGCTGAGGCTGAGGCAGGCTGAGGCTGAGGCTGCAGGCTGAGCAGGCTGAAGGCTGAGGCTGAAGGCAGATGAGGCTGAGGCCTGAGGCTGAGGTCAGGCTGAGGCTGAGCTGAGGCTGAGGCTGATGAGGCTGAGGCAGGCTGAGGCTGAGCAGAGGCTGAGGCTGAGGCAGGCTGAGGCTGAGGCCGAGGCTGCAGGCAAACTCAGGCTGAGGCTGAAGCAGGCTAGGCTGAGGCTGAGGCTGAGGCTGAGGCCGAGCTGAGGCTGGCTGATGCTGTGGCTGAGGCTGATGCAGCTGAGGCTGAGGCAGGCTGAGGCTGAGGCTGAGGCCGAGGCTGAAGGCAGACTGAGGCTGAGGCTGAGGCTGAGGCAGGCTGAGGCTGAGGCAGGCTGAGGCTGAGGCTGAGGCAGGCTGATGCTGAGGCAGGCTGAGGCTGAGGCTGAGGCTGATGCAGGCTGAGGCTGAGGCAGGCTGAGGCTGAGGCCGAGGCTG